AATTATAAGATCATCAACATATGCCAAAACATTAATCAGAACAGACCCCTTAGTGAATGTGAACAAGGAATAATCAGAGTAAGATTGGAGAAAACCATACCCTTTCAAAGCTGTGACCAGTCTAGCAAACCAAGATCTTGGAGCCTGTTCAGACCATATAACGATTTTCTCAATCGACAAACTAAATTCGTATTTTGTGTTTCAAACCCGGGAGGCAATTTCATGTAGACTCCTTCATCAAGATCACTATGAAGAAAGGCATTGTGAACGTCCATCTGGTGAAGTTCCCAATTCTTCGATGCAGCAATAGCTAAGAAAGCTTGGACTGTAGTCATTTTTGCAACAGGAGCAAAGGTTTCATTATAGTCGATGCCCGACTTTTGATGATTACCGAACACCACTAATCTTGACTTGAGACGCTCTATATCTCCATTTGAGAGATATTTTGTTTTGTATACCCACTAGCTACCAAGGGCACGTTTTCCCGGCGACAATTCTTCTAGAGTCCATGTCCCATTATCCTCCAACGCTCTTATTTCCTCTTGCATTGACTTCCTCCACCCCTCATGCTTCATTACCTCTTTAAAAGATTTCGGTTCTTGTCCCGAAATTATTGCTGCAAAAAAATGACGATAATTTGCAGAAAATTTGTCACAATTAATATAATGTGCTATAGAGTAAGGAGTACCTGAGGATCGTTGTGAACATGGAGTAGACGTTGATGGAGATGGACTTTTTGCTAATACTGTGTGCGTCACATAATCCCGCAATTTCACCGACGGAGTTTTTTCACAAAAACCTCGACCAAGCTGCTGAGACTGGGCTGTCGTGGACTGTTCAAGAGACTAATCTTGCTCTGGCATTGCTGCCTCGGGCTGGGGGTCAGACCCGAGCTGCTGGTGAATTGGAATAGCAGCAGCAGACTGCCATTGCGTTCTGGAAATGCACTCCGCGGCCTCCATGCGGGCAGCAACAGATTACCACGGGTTGCCCGTGGAGTGGTCTGTGAGGGCAGCTTCATGCTGCTATGGCGTGGATGTAGTCTGTTCTTGAGGGGGTTGTTGTACTGTAATGTCTTCCTCAACGACATTCATCTCTTGCGCTTCACCATGTACCAAATTATACTCAAAATCTGGATCAACCACAACATCATCAACCATAGGCACAATGTTCTTTGGCTCAATATTCACCTCATTCGAATCACGTAATGGAAAGACATCCTAAAAAAACTTCACATCCCGGGAAACGAAAAACTCTTTCTTTTCGAGATCATATAATGACCATCCCTTTTTACCAAACGGATATCCCAAAAATACACATTTTCTACTCTGACTCTCAAATTTATCCCCCTTGGTTTTCTATGTAGGGACTTATAGGTACTACGCAGCGGAATAAACATGAATCATATTCATAAAGCACCTAACCAAGGATCTCATGCATAACACATAAAGAGTAAGAATTATACCTTTGAAGCGTGATTCCACTAGTAATCGAGCAAGAACAAGGGAGACAAAGAACCTCAAACGTTATTCCTCTACTTGGTCCACAGACACGGATTAAGACCTCCACTAATGCTAGTTAGTCGCGATCGAACTCTTCAATCGACTTTCTACGGAGAAGTATGAACAACGAACTAGTCACGAATCACCATGAACCACCGCGAACGCCACTAGGGGTGGCCGACCGCAAGTCCAAAGGAGGGGAGAGGGGTGCCGTGAGAGAGAGGGGGGGAGGTTAGGGTTTTTAGGATTTTGTTTGCCTTGATTCACAATTCACTGTAAGTTAATTGTGACTTAATTAATCAACCCTAGGCATGGATCTTATTTATAGGTCACATCTCTAAATAAGAGTCCATGACAAAGCCCAATTCCTAATCCCAATCAAACTACACTAGCCCAATCCTATTCATATTAGTTAAATGCTCATAAGGCCCATTAATGAGCCTCTTACTTGCTTAACCCAATACCTTTGTGTGTGACCTCATAGGATCCATTCTAGCGGGCTTTGGACTATTTTACTAGCCTAAAGATCATCTCTCATAGTCTAGCAACAGATGATGACGCCCCAAGAGAATGAACTTAATATCTCCATAATAGTGATCCTTGATATATCTAGTAATTGCACTTATCGAAGACACAACTCCTTCATTCTGATTATGTGCAAAGCATAAACATCCAAATGTACGGATTGTATTATATGATGGAGTAAAGCCAAATAAAAACTCAAAGGGTGTTTTGTTGTTTAATAAAGGAGAGGGAGTCCTATTAATCAGATGGGCGACCGCAAGAACACATTCCCCCCCAAAAGTAAATAGGTAATTGTGCCTGAAAACGCAAGGCTCTTGCAACATTTAAAATGTGTTTGTGTTTCCGTTCGACTCGACCATTTTGTTGAGGTGTCCCAACACAAAATGTGTAAAACAGAACTCCAGTGGCATTGAAATAGTCACGCAAGCAATTAAATTCCGTACCATTATCACTTTGAACAATTTTAATTGTTTGAGAGAATTGACGTTCAATCATGGCTACAAAATTCATAAAAACATGAAAAACTTATGTTTCATCATCAAACACATAAACCCACACAGCACGGGAAAAATCATCAACTATAGTAAAAAAAATAACGAGCTCCACAAGAAGAAGCATGTGTATAAGAGCCCCACAAATCAAAATGTATTTTTTCAAACATACGACTTGCCTTATTATCACTGTAAGAAACTTGTCCCTAGGGTGTTTGGCCTTAAAACAAACTTCACAATTTTTATCTAAGCTACCCTTCAGACTGTCAAGAGGAAGTAACTTCACTACATTCTCCGAAGGATGACCGAGTCTTTTGTGCCATAGATCTAACTGAGATGTTGCCACAATCACTGAGATTTGTTGCACCGAATGCCCTCCGAAGTAGTAAAGTCTATCTCGTCTAGCTCCCATTCCAATCATCGTCCCCATTTGTTCCTGTATAGCACACATAGAGGAATTAAATTTGACAATACATTGCAAATCATCGTTTAATTGAGAAACCGAAATCAAATTACAAGTCAAGTTTGGAACATAGAGGACATGATTAAGCACAATGGAATCAGATAAGCGCACTGAGCCCTCTTTCTCGGCAAGAACGGTCTCACCATTAGGCAAGCCAACCGGACAATCAAAAAATAGGAGTTGTATCAAACAACCACGAAAAATTTCCCGTGACATGATGAGTTGCACCTGTATCGATAATCCACAAATTATCATTGAACTTACCATTCAATCAATTATCCGACATTTTATTATTACTAACAACAACTGTGATAGCCTTCCATTGATCCGGGGTGAAAATCTGAGTAGCCGTATTATTGTTGCTGCCTGGAACCGAAGTCCTTGCATTGTTGTGCATTGCATTTGCACGAGATGCAGCTCGACTATTGCCTATGTTGCTGCCACGACCCCGACCTGCCCCATCAGACCGTGGCTGATCAAACCATCCTTCAGGATAGCCATTAAGTTCATAGCAGTCACCAACTTTGTGACCCTGCTTCTTACAATGGGTACAAACTTGCAAATACAAGCACCTTAACGCCTCATGTCCTACCCTTTTACAATGAGTGAAGGTGGATTTTTCTCCTCTGCCATGTCCCTTACCTGCACTAGGAGAAACAACACGCATAGCAAAGCCTACTGCCTTCGTTGTTTTATCCCCTGAAGTGGTCTTTGCTTGCCGAACTCGCTCATCTTGAATTGCTAGCTGATAAGCCCGATCAATGGTGGGCAAAGGGTTTTGTGAGAGGATGTTGTCCCTCAATTGAGTGTAATACTCAGAATTCAAACCCATCAAAAAATCGTGTAGCGTCCTTTCCTCACGTCTTTGAGCGTGGAGTTCACCTAGGGGTGTCCATAATTCGGATAAAAACCGAAATCCAATCCAATCCAAACCGAATTATCAATTCGGATTGGATCCGAACTTTAAATCGGATCGGATCGGATTGAGATTTTTTGGAGATTCGGTTTTTCGGATTGGATCAGATTGACCCTAATTGGATCCAATCTAAACCGAAAACCGAATTGTAAAATTAATTTTGTATAAATATGGATTTCTATATATTTTGAAGTTTAGCTCAAATACTTACTACTACATAAAATAAAGTAGAGAGACTTTGTATTAATTAATTAATGACTTGACGTTGAACTATTTATTTTTATCATGATTTTGAAGATTTTTATCTATAGTAAAGGTTTATTTTTATAATTGTATTAGGCGCTAAAAAATAATGTATTATAATTCGGATTTTCGGATCGGATCCAAATAACCGAATTTTAATTCGGATTGGATCAAGAGAGAAATTCGGATCAGATCGGATTGGAAAATTAAAAACCGAATTATATTTCGGATTGGATTGGATTTGGACTAAATCCAAACCGAAAACCGAACGGACACCCCTAAGTTCACCTTCCTTGAAATTGGAGCAACACACACAATTGATTATAGGTTCATGATGAAATAGCTCCTCCCACAAAGCATTTAATTTTCCAAAATAGGTGGAAATAAACATGGATTTCGTCTGCTCGCACTTTGCAATCGAAGATTTCAATTGTTGAATTCTCTGACCATTAACAAGTGCAAAGCGCTGTTTTAGATGATCCCATAGCTTCTTTGTCTCTCTATACTTTGTCAGGGTACTCTTAACTTCAGGGTCTATGGTATTCATAATCCACGAAACAAGCATAGCATTGATCGTGTTCCAATCCGACTGCGTACAAGGGGGAGTCGGACTAATAATCGTTCCATCTAAAAAATCAAACTTCCGGCGTGCCTCCAATTCCATCTGAATATCCTCAGCCCAATCATTGTAATTGTCTCCACGTAAGCGGGTCGGAGTTATAAAATCACCAGGTCGATCTTGCGACCCAAGGTAAAAAGGGGAATTCGATTCAATTTTTGAAGGTGGTGGCGGTGGTGGTATATCATCGCCTGCTATTGCTAGGGGTTAAAAAAAATTGGCTCTGATACCATGTAAAAAATAATGTGTAGTGTAAAAGCTTGCCTTCATTCATTAGAGATGCCATCAACATATAGTGTACAAAGATATGATGTTGGACTTAAGAAACAATCTAGATGAGATCAAATATTGCCATAAGACCTAAGTTATGCCAACTATACAATATAAGATAATATCATATATTTCTATCTTAACAACCTCAAAGGGCCTGAAATCGTGGGATCACGGCCATTGGGAACAATTCTCATATAGCCGGGGTTATCGCGGTGATGTTGTAGCGGTTCAAGCTGAGAAATCTGTTTGCAATTTGGTTCTTCTCTTTCCTCAAGGTGAGTTCTTTGATTTTGATTTAATTAACGAAGTTAGTTTTTGGTTTCAATTTCTTCGATTTATGTGATATTTTTGTAGATGCTGCTTGCTCTTGTTGATCGAATCTGTTTCTGAAGCGGCTGTTAGGTTTTCACCCCTCCATAGAAATAGCTTTTGAGGTTAAATTATTTTCTTTTTATTATTAAATCATTGAATATGTGACTTTCTTATTTTTTTTCTCCATTGAAGAAGCTTCCGAGCTTTTTCCGATTAAAGTAAATTCTGAGCTTTCCCCTTTATTGAAGCAGCTTACAAGGTAATGTGTTTTTCAATCATCAAGTTTCCATTTTAAAATCGGATTTACTCTTTGTGAATTATTATCAGATTTAATTCGATCTAATTTGAGAAAAAAATGGAAACCAATTTTATTAATATTTGTGGGTTGAATATTTTAGGGTTCAATTTGATCGAAAATTACCCTTGTCTTCTCTTTTTTATTTTTTTTATTTCTACTTTTGATTTTGTTTTTCTTTTTTTTTAATAATGTATTTGTGCTTTTCCCTATATCTTGGCTTCCTGTTCCACCATTCATATGAGGCGATGGTGCTTTCTTGCTCTGCTTAATACGGGGGAAACTATATAAGTAATCCAACTTAATTTTTGCTCTGCTTTAACCAATGAGCCTGGAATCCTTCACTTGGTTTTTGCAGAAAAATCCAAATTTCAAGTTTTTCTGATGAGAATTTAAGTTTTAAAGCTTGCCTTCTAATCCCTTGTATTTCATCTGGTAAATTGTCTGTTCTGCGTTTTGAATTTGATATTTTTGTTTTCAATTTCTTATGTAATTTTGACCTAATTCTATTTTTGATGTATTATGTTCTGTTCTAGCTTTTCAATTAGTTATTCATTTCGATTGTGTCGCAATCTTGTTGGAATTGACAATATGATTTCAGGATAATTTGGTTGAGTTCATACAAAATAAGTTTTCAATTTTGTTATATTCCTCAATTATATCGCTATTTTGGTCAATAATATGTAGATTTTAATTTGAGATTAATAGAAAGAATTTGCTTTTCTTTTTCTTTTTTTTTTTTGGTTAAAATTGCAAAGGTGGAGACGTTGAGTCAAGGAAAGCAAAAGGAGAAGGTGAACGCAAAATTGATTTTGTTTTTTTTTTAAAAAAAAGCTAAATGGATTATAATTTTAAATATTTACTCAATCTTGTATAATGCATATGCTTACATTCTATGATTTAAATTCTTTCTTGTGGCTCTGTGTGTTGTTGGCTTGTTGCTTGCAAATACGGAGTATATATTGTGGGCCATCGGAAATGAAGTACCATAGGCTTTTGTGCTATGACATATAATTCATGGCTGAATTGTGAGCTGATTAGAATAATGGGAACCGAGTAACCAAATATTTCCCAATATAGCAAAACAGAAAACTCTTTAATTTTCAATACAAGGGTTGAGTTCATGAATGGTGATATAAAGTCGGTTTTAACTATAAAAAACATAAACATGGACTACATGGTTAATTATTTATCAATTAATTGAGTAAAGTAAGAAGGATTGAAAGATGGTGCATAAGGCCTACCTGAGCTTTATATAAACTCATCGTTCCTTCCTGAATTAAGCAAGCTTCTGGATTTTTCCTTCCTGCATTGCATAATGTTTTTATCAGATTGCGTGATTTTAAAGAATAATTTAGCAATTGATTAGTTTCGAACACTGAGCATCACTCTCGAATCTGGTTTCAATAAGCTTTGCCTTGAAACCGATTGCCTTAAGCTCTACTCTTGCTTGGTGAAGTCGGATGCTAGTCCTTCTGTTTTTGGGTCGATTGTTCTTGATATTTTAAAGATTTCTAGTTCTTGTTTATCTTGTTCTTGTTCTTTTGTTAAGAGGGAAGGAAATCGAGTTGCCCATAGTCTAGCTTCTTTATGTAATAGCTATGGGGAGCTTATGGTTTGGATGTAAGATGCTCCTGCTGCTGCTTTGGAGCTTGTAATGGCTGAGAAATGCAAGACTTTTATTAAGAAGAGAGAAAGCTAATATCAGCCATTACAAGCTCCAAAGCAGCATCAGGAGCATCTTATATCCAAACCATAAGCTCCCCATAGCTATTACATAGAGAAGCTAGACTATGGGCAACTCGATTTCCTTCCCTCTTAACAAAAGAAAAAGAACAAGATAAACAAGAACTAGAAAGCTTTAAAATATATCATGAACAATCGACCCAAAAACAGAAGGACTAGCATCCGACTTCACCAAGCAAGAGTAGAGCTTAAGGCAATCGGTTTCAAGGCAAAGCTTATTGAAACCAGATTTGAGAGTGATGCTCAGTGTTCGAAACTAATCAATTGCTAAATTATTCTTTAAAATCACGCAATATGATGAAAACATTATGCAATGCAGGAAGGAAAAATCCAGAAGCTTGCTTAATTCAGGAAGGAACGATGAGTTTATATAAAGCTCAGGTAGGCCTTATGCATCATCTTTCAATACTTCTTACTTTACTCAATTAATTGATAAATAATTAACCATGTAGTCCATGTTTATGTTTTTTATAGTTAAAACCGACTTTATATCACCATTCATGAACTCAACCCTTGTATTAAAAATAAAAGAGTTTTCAGTTTTGCTATATTGGGAAATATTTATTTTCACTTTGTTGGACATTAGTCGAAGTATCTTATTTTAACTATTAGGATTCAATAATTCAATTAAAAAGTAAAACTTTTTATTCCCACAATCATTCTAAATTGTTGGGAATTACCTACTTATTTTGCCTCAATGATTAACCTCCCATATTCTTGTTGTTTATTCCTATGGCTCATTGACTTGGTACATATTGTCGGTCATTGGGATTTCAAAATTGAATGACTTTGGGTTTAGGGTACAAGTGGTTGTTGGACATTTAAATATCTATCCATCATGTTTTCTTCTTGCTCTTGATCTTCTTCCATCATGTTTTCTTCCATATTGTCGGACATTGGGATCTTCCACTTTGCTTGCTCACTATATATTTTTATCAAACTAATGATCATTCTATTATTTGTTGTATTATTGTTGCTAGTTCGAAGGATGTCATGGAACTTTCTCCCCAGAAGTTAAGGCTGAAGAGTTAGCTAACTTGAGAGAAAATTGTTTCAATCTAAGCAACGCTGAGATGTTCGGTGTTCTTCCTGACTTACTCGACTTAGCTTCAACAATGCCAAAGGCTTGGATAAATCAAAGATTGATTACATCTATTCATCATATTATTTGTTGACCCAAATTGAAAACGTTATTCGTGATGATGACAAAGACAAGTTTGTTGTATTTTTGAACGCAAATCATGAATTAATTCATGACTTCCCCACCGTGGAGGTCTTTGCTTTACTATGCTAGAACAATGCTCTAGCGTGTATCTCCGCATTACTCGAGTCTCCTCTTTGAGCTGATGTTGATGTCAACCGTTTTCATATCAGTGAGGCATCTATTTCGTTGGAGGTAGTCGCTTTTAAGTTATCTTTACCCCTAACTCAAACTTTCCTAGTACATGGAGCTGATGCTAATGTCGTGGTTTCCATACATCCATACTTGGTAGTGCACTCATAACATTAAGGTGTTTCTTTGTCTTCTATATTTTTTCACATGTTTTTTAATAATTATTTTTTATTTCTTAAAGATTTCACGTGATATATCACATCACAGGTATCACAAACGTGTCAGAGAATGGACTGTCAAACACGATACAACAACCCTGATTCTCACATTGTGCGATTCAGACATGGTATCAAATATTTTTGTTCATTATAATGATTTGGAGCTAGTTTTTATTTTTTGTTGAAGAAATTTGGTAGCATTTTTCACTATTGTTATCTTCTATTATTTAATACATGTTATTCGTTGCATAAAGAAGTTGTTACTACTCTGCTGGATTTTCATAAGAAAGATGTTAAAAGTGTTCTATCACTACTTATTGATGGAAGGAACTTCATTGAGATGATCATTTTGTTGTTTGTTGCTCGAAAAAAGCTGTTGATACCATATGATGAGTGGACCTTCAAAGATACTCCAGTGGCTAAGTATATTTCGCAGGAGTTAAAACAACTAGAATTTGAGCATAATGTAATTACCAAAATAAAAAAGAAGACATATTTGAATGATGCTTGCAATGTAGCCGAATCTGTATGGGGGGCATATAACTTTTGTTTATCTCATCTGAAGTTTAAGGTACAATTTCTTAACATAGTTGATATTCCCTCCCCCCCTCCCCTTTAAATCAACTAGAATTTGAGCATAGTGTAATTACCAAAATAAAAAAGAAGACATATTGTAGGTAATATTTCAAGCGTTAATCCCCTAGCTTGAACCCCACTGTAATCATACACTAAAGTACGGTGGCGTCCAATGGAAAAGAAGATAGAGCAAAAGAGTCGCCAACAAGTTTTAGGAACTTGTAAATCGTTCAAGAGGTGAAGGTTACACCCCTTAACGATCCAAGAGATCGTCAACTCCATAAGGTCTTGAACCAAATAAGGGTTCGGGGATGAAGGTACAAATCCAACCTAAAAGATATTGAACCTGCCCTAATAATAGGCTTCTACTTTATTCTGATCGTATTCATGTGCGCTTTCTGACTAACTTGCAATCAATAGGATTAACCCTAAACCTGTTTATCTATGTTGGTTGAATATTAATGCACAAATAAAACTATTATTGGCGATCACTTGAATTATAATCATAATTAACCCTAAACAAGATTATTAATTATCTTATTAAGCGTGATTACAAGTACCAAAATTCCCTTTAAACATGCATAAAAGGCGTGATCAAGCAATAAAAATAAATATCAAGCAACATAATAATAATAATAATAAAAAAAAAATTATAATCATAACAATAATTATAATCAAGATAATAATATTCATAAAAAAGCATAATAATAGCAAGATCCTAGGCATGATACTAACAAGATTAATAACAAACCCTAGCATATCACTAAGCAATAAAAATCAAATCTTTAACCCTAACATGATACTTACAATCATAAATATTAGGAAGAACATAAAAGGCATCATACTTTTAATCATGCTTAATATTAAATTTACCTAGACATGATACTAGGAATCATAATAACAACCTAAGCATGAACTCTACATCATAACATCAATAAAAACCATTAAAGTACTTACTTTGATGGCTCGTACCTCTTTCTAATAACAAAATACACACGTTAGTAACTTCAAAGAAAATAATAATCAAACAATTAAATTAAATAATTGAAAGAGAGATTTGGGACCAAACCCTCAGAAATTAAACCCCCTTTCACATCTAGGGCGAAGGCAACTTCGAATATGGCTAGGTGTTTCTAGATCTAATGAATGCGGAATTTTGTATTTAAAAAGCTAGTTTAGAAAAAGAAAGAGAGAGATGGTGAACGAATGAGAGAATTGATGATTGCGAATGAAAACTGATTGTAGGTGAATGAAAACGGAGTTTTTACGACGTTATTTATAGAGAAAATCAGCCAAAAAGATAAAATTAATAAAACAGAGCATTGGAGCACAAAAAACAGAACCAGCGCCAACGCTGGCGGTTGGCACCAGGCGCCAACACTAGCGCCAAGAGCCAATGCTGGCGCCAGGCGCTATAGCTGGCTTTTGGCGTTGATTTCTGAAATTCACGCGTTTTCTAAAATCAGATAAAAACTATCGTACATGAGGATAAAATCGTATTTTCCTCAAAAATACTTTGATTTTAATTAAAACTCTGAAAAGTCAACAAAAGTCAATTTATCAATGCTAATTGAATTAGGAATGAAAAAGAACCTTCTAGAAGAATCTAGAAGACTAAAACCATTCCTAATTGCATTTGGAAGGATAAATCCCATTAGGCCCTTCCCTAGATCATTGGGCCGCGTATAAGGCTCTAACCGGGCCCAGTTTAGTAAATTGGCCATAACTTCCTCAATATTCATCGGAATTGGGCTTATAATATATCGTTGGAAAGCTCTTGTCAAGCCCCATCCAACTACACTACTATTTGACCCATATCATGGACCAACCAAACTGGATTGGCTGTTTTCTTAAAATAAGTTTTCAAAAACAGAGAGAAGAGAAAAGAAATTAAAATTGTCCGCAACACTAAACTTTCCACACTTTCGCTTCATTCGATTATGATTCGACGTGAAAGGTACTCATCACCGGGTTTGGTTTTGGGGAGACACAAATGGGTGTCTACACTAACTACCAAATAAGGCCTTTAATTTCGCGACTTAATTATTGGCTCACAATCGAACTTTCGATAACAACTTAATTTTTGTTTTTGCAAATCAAATGTGGTACATAATCTAAGTTGGTGTGCTAGTTTAATTAGTTGGGTTGATTTGATTGATGTATTACTTATATCTTAATTAGTTGGGTTGATTTTAGGGAAGAGACATGTATCACCTAATCATATCATTTTTCCCACCTAAATGCTAACGCTTTAAATATAAATAAAATCATTAAAAATTTGTTTTCAGAAATAAAATTAACAATACCTTAACATCTAAATGATTTAGAAAAATTGCTCGCTCTATGGCGAGGCATGATGGACCACTACCAGGTAGGGACTCTCATGCCCAATACCTGGGGGTATATTTGTCATTTAACATATATTGGATAGTAACTTCATTAATAGTTACCACATGAGTTGGCAGTAATAAAAAGTAGTTTCTCTCTCTCATACTTTTGGAAAAGATACCACCACTGTTGTCAATCTGTCATTGCCGCTTTCCTCCATTAACACCACCACCAAAACCAAAGAAAATCACCATTATCATCATCATCTTCTTCATTAATTACATGATGGTTTAGATTATTGCACCGCCTTACCACCACCACTATCGGATGTCCAATAACAGTATACAAATCAATAGTAGTAGTATACAATCAACAATAACAGTTTATTAATTAACAATAACAGTACAAACTTAACCTAAACCAAGTTATAAAACGATAACATTTAAATCAAACCCATGAAATTTAAAAAAAAAAAAAACAAAAAGCATATAAACCCAGATTCACAGATAAATAAAATAACTTTTTAATTATACTAATCAGCCATTAACAATATACTAATAAAAATAATAGTGTACTAATAAAAAATAACAGTATAACAATTAACAATAACTGTGTAAAATCAATAATAGTTATTACTGCCAAATGATTTTCGTCGTCGACTTCAACCCCAAACATCCAAAGCTTAGATGAATAATCATCCTACCTGATTTGTATATTATCTACAAAAGTTTGCAAATTCCATGGAAATAGATCAGAGCTTTGCGCTTAATTTCGTTCCACAAGGGAGCTCGACTTTCCCTCAAGATTTTCGATCAATAGCCACCATATTTGGAATCTTCTCCAGATCTCCGGTGAATAGCCACTGGCTATGATGCCATTTTTGAGAACTCCATCTAATCCTCTAGTGTTTTTTCATGGAGAAATGGTTTACCCAACTATTTACCCCGATTAAGGTGGATTTCCATATTTAGGTGGAAGTTCAAGCCAAATTCCCCTCTTTGAGCTACCTTCAGCTACACCGGCGCTGATCGACTGTTTTTTAGCGGGAAGAGCAACAACTAAAGGGGGGAAAGTAACTTCTCTCTCTTCCTTTTTTTTTTACCCAACCCTTTTTCATTTTACCCCCCAATTTTATTTTATCTTTTTTTAATTTGCAAATATTATTTTTTTTATTAGGGTATTGGAGAGGGGGACTATACTTGGTAAGGGGCAATAATTTCTCCTCTATGGCTCCTTCGAGAGGTTTACAATAGGGTGACCCTATACCTTCATACCTCTTTCTAATAGTTGTAGATGCTTTCTCAACCCTTTTATCTAGAGCGGCATTAGAAAATAAGATTTATGGCTCCTAGAGTCGTAATGTTCTCTACAATTATGTAATAGCGTCTTTTAGAATCATTTTCAACAAAAAAAACCATCAAAATAACAATTTAGAAATTTGATATTTAAGGTTTAATAGTCTAATATGATAGAAATTATCAACAAATCATAAAAATATTAAAAAGTTCTTAACCCACCGAGTTGAACTGGGTCGGGTTGAAAATCAACAAATTCTAGCGAGTTTGAAAAAACAGGTTTAAACAGCTCAAAAATCTCAAATTTTTTATCAAAACCCGCTATTTACTGGTTGGATTACTCGGTTTTTTTACGTAATACGATCCAACACCTGCTCTAATTCTTTCTTTTTGTTACGGATTACCTGTTTCCCACATTGAAAGAATTTGTTACTTTTTTTTATGGTGTAGACACCCATTTGTGTCTCCCCAAAACCAAACCCGGTGATGAATACCTTTCACGTGGAATCATAATCGAATGAGGTGAAAGTGTGAAAATTCTAGTGATGAGGATGTTTTTATTAAAATATCTCTTCTTTCTATTTTTGAAAATATTTCTTTTCTTACCCTATTTTTGAAAAAGTGCATTCCAGTTTAGTTTGGTCCATGATATGGGTCCAATAATGGTGTAGTTGGATGGGGTTTGAAAAGACCTTTCCAACGATATATTATAAGCCCAATTCCGATGAATAATGATGAAGTTATGGCCAAAATACTAAACTGGGCCCAAATCGGTTTTTACCTACAGCTCAATGATCATGTGGAGGGTCCAAAGGTCTAATCCTATTCCTAAACTAATTAGGATTAATTATAATATTCTATAAGTTTTTAAAAGATCTTAATTATCCTTGTTGAAAAGATAAGATTAAAGAATTTGAGTTAAATAAAAACTTTCCTTTTTTTAATCCTAATTCTATTCGAATTTAAAGATATTCAAAGACAGTCAGATATTATTTTTTCCTCATAAAATTTATCCAAATTTTATATATTTGGATAGATCTTGAAATTATCTTTCCAATGATATATTATAATATCAATTCCGAGCTATAACGAAAAAGATATGAATGAGATACGAAACTCTATCCAAAACTGATACCCTTTCACTATT